ATCTTTAGGAATGATGGAAGAGCAACAGAGTTATTTAAGAGAAATCTGTTGTCCTGGCCTTGGTGCAGTTTCCAGACTTGACCACATTTGCTGGATTTATGTTTAGCTGATAGTTTTTCAGTTTTTAACTTGAGGCCACACTTTGGATTCTGTTTATTTCTGCCAGATGTTGCTACTCCAGGTTAATTTCATGTTTTTTGTGTTTCAGATAGAATCTTAGGTAAAGTTTGATTGTATTGCTTCCTAAAAACGTACTTTCCAGTAGCTGAGATTAACAAGTATATTTTTGAATTGATTATTGAAACAGCAATGCCATATGTAGTCCCAGATTTGTGGCCTGTTATAATTAGGAAAATTGTGTTTATTTCAGTCCACCTGAGAAACCATTTACTTTTATTTCTCTTCTTTCCCAAATACTTTCATAGTATGACAAAGTCATCAATGTTTTCAACCATATTCTATGTAATATTCAACTCAGTATTATAATTCAAATAACAATTAAATCAAGTCTTTTCTAGCAAATGAAAAAGCCTACATATTAAGCTACTTAGAAAAGTGTTCTTTTTTTGCATTTGTTCATTTACTGTGTGCAATCCTGCGTGTTTCAGATTTAGTAGAATTTTTTTATTCATCACTTATAGGAAATAAGAAATGTAGTTTTTTTCTCCTTTTCCCATTCCTCATTACCATGACTTTAGGTTCTGATAGTCTGTGTTTTCTCTTTCTTTGTCAAAGTGTTACTCATTTTAATATCTGATAGGTGTACATATCTGCCAACGCAAAGTATAAATATTGGTCTGCCACTACTGCAAAAAGTCAATCTTCAAATTATGGAAAATTTAAATTCATAATTATATATTCACAATGCAGTAAGGCAAACTGATTTAAAGTGGAGGACAGTTGCAGGCCTTAGTAATTTTTGCAGCCATTAAATTAAAATTAAAAGAATTTTTTGCACACTTAATTATTTTTGAAAGAATGATGAAAATCATCTATTTTCCTTGCTGCATGTGAATTTTGACAGACTTTTAAAAAAATACATTTAAATAAGTGGTTTATAGATAGTGTAATTCAGAAATATTAATGAAATTCTAATATTTTTTCCTACAAAAATAAGTTTTTAGCAGTTATCACCATACTTGAGTGTAATAGTCTAGAAGCTTAAAATTATCATTGATTTTTTTCCTATTTCATTATTTTCCATACCCAATCCTCATGCCTTTCTTAAAATATCTCTGGAATTTACCTTCAAAAAAATTTGGGAGGGGGGGAGGCGGCAGGCAGCTGGCCAGTACAGGAATTGAACCCTGGGCTGTGGTGTTATCAGCACCACGTTCTAACCAACTGAGATAACCGGCCAGCCCGACCTTCAAATTCTATCATACTGCCTCTGTTTTAGTCAAATGTCTACTTGTTTTCTCAGCCTAGGATCTTTTGCCATGTCATTGCTTTCTGCGTATTTAGCAGTCTAACCTTTCCAAAAGAGTTCTTTCATCCTTTCAGAATCTTCAACAACATGGATGGACCTTGAGAGAATTATATTAAGTGAAACGAGTCAGGCACAGAAAGAGAAATACCACATGTTCTCACTTATTGGTGGGAGCTAAAAATTAATAAATAAATTCACACACATACACACACACACACAAAACCACAAAAAACCAGGGGGGCAGGGGGAAGAAGATATAACAACTACAATTACTTGAAGTTGATACGACAAGCAAACAGAAAGGACATTGTTGGGTGGGAGGGAGGAGAGGGAAGAGGGAGGGAGGTTTTGGTAAGGGGCTACAATAATCAACCACAATGTATATCCACAAAATAAAATTAAAAAAAAAAAAAAAAAAAAGAATCTTCAGGAGATGTCGCATACTCACTCCATTAAGTCCAGACTTATTTATCCGATATTCATTATCATCCATGTCTCTACCAAGGCCTCTGTATTGAATTTATTCTCTGCTCTTTTCCCATTGGTGTCTTTAGCACTTGTTGGGCCCCAAAGAGCCTGTTGTGCATGCTGCATTTGTTTTTTCACTTCCATGACTTTCCTCAAGCTTTCAACTGTACGCACGTGCCCTGCTGGGAGTGCTGTATCCATTTGACCTATTCAAGTGTCTAATAAATTTTGCAAAAGCTGCTCCAGCCCCTCATCTCACTCTTCTTTCTCTGAGCTCCTCTTGCACCTTGTCTCTAGTATGTGATGTGATTCTCACTGGCGGAGACCTTCAGTCATTCTTCTCTTGGAACCTGGCCCCAGGGTGTGTAGCAGATTGACTGCACTTCTGTCTCACTTCACTCCTAATCATTTTGTGATGTTAGGTCAGAAAGGTTTCTTTCTTTTTCTTTTTTCTTTGTTCTTTTTATTTACCTCTAAAACCTGATAGTTCTTCCCCCATCTTTCTCATCCCTACACACCACAAATCAGAAACATTGTTGTATTTTGAAATAGATAGACAGGCTTAGCTAGGTGGAATACTGTGCCGAGGGATCCACGAGTGAAATTGACTCCCATGCGCATCAGTTAAGTTCAGGTAGAACAGAACTACCACTCAGAGTCACAGGCTGTAGACTGAATCCTGCCTACCCATCTTCAAATATGTATTTTGTTCAGTATTGGGGGGAAGTGGAGCAATAATGTGTGAACTCTCTAGCATTAATTTGTAAATATTAGAAAGATAACTAGAAATTAGTATATTTTGAACTTGCGTTTCTTTCATAAAGAAAAATAGTTATTAAAAACACTACCATTAACAGTAAGACTGGCAAACTTTTTCAGTAAATGGCCAGATAATATTTTTTTTTTATTTTTATTTTGTCAATATACAATGTAGTTGATTATTGTGTCCCATCACCGAAACCTCCCTCCCTCCTCCCTCTCCCCCCCCCCAGGTGTGTCCCCTCCATTTTCTTGATGTAAGAGCTTCAAAAAAAAAATTGTGGTTGTTATATCTTCCCCCCCCCCTCGGTTTTTTTGTTTGTTTTTGTTGTTGTTGTTGTTGTTTGTTTTTGTGTGTGTGTGTGAGAGAGTGTGTGTGTGTGTGTGTGTGTGTGTG